ATGACAACTTAGTTAGAGAGCTTACACATAAAATACTCATTTCAAATTGGAAATACTTTATTATGCTCCAACTCATTCGTTGTCAAAGCCACATTCACTATAATAAATGGGCATTTCTTCCACTCTTCCGTCTCTCCCTATTAGTCTCATGCCGCTAATCGCCTAAATTTCCACCACCATCATTGGAAAAAAAATATTTTCATCTAAAACGTATAATTTCTCCTAAGATGTCTATTTTCAGTCAAACTGTCTATTTTCAGTTTAAAATCTTCAACTTAGTTGTCTATTTCGAGTCTAAACTGTTTATTTTTCAGTCTAAACTATCCAACTAAGCTACCCCAATAAGATTTTTAGCAAATTCAAAATATTTCAGACAGACTGTTAGCTATACTAAATATTTTTGAGGGACTTTCAGCCATTCTTCCCAATACTTTAACATAAATATCCAGTTGTCATAGAGTAGGATCTCATGGAAATTAATGATTTTATTATTATTAATTTTTTTCTCCAAAAAAAAAATGGTATTTGAAAGTGTGACATTGATCCCCATGGACATGAATAATTAAGGATGGAGCAAAGGTCCATAATAAACGGGTTTGGAACTGAAAACAAAGGGAGAAAAATATTGGGATGACCAAATATTTTGCTCTAAATCATGCTTTTGTTATTGCAATTTGGTCCCCTTATTATTTTATCCTACTCTTTGTCCACACATCAATATAATTTGCACCTCTTTTGACTATTGGTCTCATTGATTTTAGTAACTTTCATTGCTATATAATAATATAATACATTAATTTAATTGTTTAGCTAATAATTTAGTCACTAAAATTTCTAGTTACTTTACATATAACTGATTAATTTCCAAAAAGTAATGGAAACAATATTGTTTATTTTTACATTAGGAACAAGAAATCATCCAAAACTTTTACTTAATTCAATTCTTATCTGGAGGTGAAAATCAAATCAAATCATGACACTAAGATAGAGGATATCTATATTGACAATATAATTAACTCAAAGAAATAAATAAAAAAACTATTGACAATATAATTAAATATTTGAACACTAACAACTAGTCAACTAGGGGTGTGTGACATGATTAATGGGTCTAAAATTTTAGTGCGTGTTAATGAGTGTAAATGTATTAGTCAAAGAAGGCAATTAATAAGGAGCATTAAGCACTAAATAGAGAGAGAGAGAGAGAGAGAGAGAGAGAGAGAGAGAGAGAGAGAGAGAGAGAGAGAGAGAGAGAGAGAGAGAGAGAGAGACTCTCTCACCAAGGCGGCGAGTGGGAGTGGGGGAGTCACACGTGACAACCAAGGTTTGTTGTCTTAATCGTAGTAGAGTTCCCACACCGCACGTGTGAGGAAAAAGGGTAACTTGTTTGTTTGTTCTTTATCAACCTTTTCAACACATTTCATTAAATGGGGTTTTGTCAATTTTAGGTTGAATGTGTGAATTGTCAAACATGTTTTCAAACTCAACCATCACCACTTGCTTCTACTCAAATTTTCCTATTGTAAAATATTTCAATAATTATTAATACAAATTTTTTATTTAATTTTGTAATAAATCGTTTCTAATTTTGCATTTCAGAAGCTAAATCACGGTAATTAATATTTCTACCGTTTTTTCAATTTATTTGAAGAAAATATTTTTACCTTGTACACAACTCGGTGTTGTCGTTTCTTACAAGAAACGCACACATACATGTCGATGTGCGTAAAAAAATGACAAATATGTAGACAACAACATTAAGGAAGGGTAAAATACAAGATAATCCACATCATCAAAGCTAGAATGATTTAAGTTTTAACAGACACATAAAAAATAGCAGCTTTCGATCCGACGGTACAAATTAATCTAAAAACGAGTTTAATAAATATAACATTCTTGAATAATTTCACAAGTCAACCAACTTATGCATATATGCTCAAGGGTCCTGTCTGGTTCGAGGAATCAAGTCCACGCTCAGCCGTTGGCAAACCGGTGATCAATTTCCTGAAATACAAAATTTTGCAATCTAATTTCATTAGGACAAAAAAGCCTAAAAGAAATTGTCTGAATCGTGTTTCGAC